ATGCAAGTATTCTATTTACAAACCCTTTTAGTTTGTTTGTTCATATATGTCCTGACTGGCTCAAGATTGACTCAGCTTTTCATACTTCCGAAGTCAGTAAAATGAGGACCCAGATCGTTGGGGACAATATGCTGATTCCATAAACCACTCAGAAAGCACCGTGAAGCACTATGAAGTGGTATATAGATCTAAATGCTATTACTATTGCTATATTAGTTCTAGAATCAACATTAATAGTCCTGTACAGTTGATTTTTTTTAAACCCCAATCATGACAGTATAATAGAGACAAATCTTTATGCACAAAAGTGTGTAGTCAATACATGGTGGTCTAGTGGCAATAAATATTTATTTACTTAAATTTATTGACTGCCCAACTCCAGTGTAGCCAGCAAGTATACAAAACTAGGAAAACGTGAAAACAACTAAATGCATTGAATCATACAGACAGTCCAGGCTAAAATAACCCAAGAGATGGCAAAAACAACAATGCCAAACAGGGGACATTGAACAAATGATAAATATCAGCCCCAGGCTTGGGACCACAGCCAGCTGTTCAAAGCTTTCCAGAACCCCAGGAGAGAAAGTATTGTCCTTATCTCTCAAGGGATAGCTGTCCTAAATGTTGGAGGCTGCAATAGAAAAGGCACACTTCTAGCTCCCACAAGTTGGCAGTGTTTAATGGAGGGGACCTAGAGTGCACCCACTCTGCTGAATCATAATGGGCAAGCAGAAACTGTTGGAGATAAGCAGTCTCTCAGATATCCAGGCCCCACGCCATGCATTAGCTTTATAGGCAATAACTAGCACCTTGAATTGTACCCAGAAGCCAAGTGGCAGCCAATGTAGCTACTGTAGCCATTGTAACATGTGGACACATCAAGAGGCACCTATTATAGTTTGTGTTGCTGCATTTTGAACCAGCTGTAGATTCTGGTGGTCTTCCAGGGCAGCCCTATGAAGAGCGCATTGCAATAATCTAATTGTGAGGTGACCAGAATAGGATTGTTTGAAGACCTCCTGATCAAGGAAAGCATTTTTTTTTCTGCCAGACCACATGAATATTCCTCACCATGGCCCTGGAGATAATCCTGTGGCCTGGACTCTCCAGAATAGGGAGTGGTCATCCTGAACCATTACAGGGCCATTACATGATAAGGGTGAAAAAGTAACGGCATGTTTTAGCATGAAAACTTTGCAGTAGGTAGAGATGCAACCAGAAGCTTTTATCAAATTAAATAAACCTTCATGCAACTTGGCCATTTTAAATTAAAGGGCTTGTAGAGCAATAGTAGGACGATTTTGTATTTTATGACAACCTTGAGAGCCATCAGCTAAAGTTTGCAAAACAATAACTCAGGTTGATGGATAAACAGAGCAGGATACCTCTGAGAATATGCTCACCCCAGGAATTTGTAATCAGTATTTGTCTCAAACTCACAAAAAGTGCTGTGGTTTTTCTTCAAGCAATATTTTTCATCAACTAACACTGAGAGGAGGGGAAGGAATGGGGCTGCCTATTGTGCATTGCCAGTCTATTAGGAGTCTGAAACCTTGACAGTTTGTTCCAAAACATCTAAAGATCTACTCCTACCTATCCCTGATGTAGCCTCTTCTGTTCACATGTCTACACATATTCCTAGGGAGAGAATACACAAACGAGTATATTAGTAGAACTCCAACATATATCTGAATGGTGCCCCAATCAATAGTAGGTTATGTATTGAAAACGGATTAAATGAGAACACAAGGCAATCCACTTTGTTGAGAAGAAGGGGAGAGTCCTCTGAGTAGCAGTTACTTGATCGAAGGTTATCTTCAAAAGACATGCTCTTTCAAAAACACAGAAGATGAGTCTTCCAATTTTAATAGATGGAAATATGAGGATTAGTTTTTTACAAGGCTGTTCACCTAGTTTAAGTAATTAAAAAAAAACAGTAGGCAATGAAAGGAAGAAACATCTAAGAATCTAGTACATCTCACTATGAAATAATAGAAAATACTTGTAGCTCGGATTTTAGATTTTGGCAGTGGTTTGCTCTCCAAGCTTGTTTCAATTTAGTTTCTGAACGTTTTATTACCAGACTAAGTAACCGCATCAGCAGGATTTTCTTGTCCTATCCTCCTTAGCTTATAAAGGTCTTGTGTGCCAGTTTGGTCAGTTGGTCAGGTGATTGGTTGTTTGTTTGGAGATATATTTAAATTCTGAGCAGCTGATTGGTTCCCTCATTGATTGGTCGGTCAAATGTTCTGGTTTCTTACATATTCATATGCTGGATCTATACACCATCTACTCAGCAACGTATTGCTTAACGCATTGTAAGCCGTCCTGAGTCTCCGGAGAAGGGTGGCATATAAATCAAATTAGAAAAAAAAAACGTATTCACTGGGATCAGTTTTACACGTGAGGAAGAAAAAGAACATTGATTCCCCTTCCTAGATATTGACATAAGGAGACAAGATAATGGTGAATTAACAACTTGAGTATACCGAAAATCCACGCACACAGACCAGATTTTAAATATCACAAGCAACCTCCCCACTGCACACAAGCAGAGCTGCATCCAGACTATTTTCAAAAGAGCCAAAGCACACTGCAGCACCAAGCCATTAAGAAAAACAGAAAAGAGACACCTTTTCAATGTTTTCCTCTGCAATGGCTATCTAAAAAATTTCATAATACAATGCTTGTCATCCAAACCCTGACAAAACACACAGCCAAACACAACACAAAAACAAGTCCTGCCATAGATCAAAGGAACATCCGAAATTACTAACAGAATACTGCAACCCCTAGGAATAATGATAGCTCACAAACCCAAATTTACATTCAGAAAAGAGCTATCTAAAGTCAAAGTACACAAGACAGACAACGTACACAAGACAGACAACAGCAACACAGTATATGAAATCAATTGCAACAATTCTATCTAATTCTATGTGGGGCAAACAGGAAGGCAATTGAAAACAAGGGTTCATGAACATCAATATAGCAGTGCCACTTGTAGCTTTACTACTTATCTTGTTTTAGTTCATTTTTAATAAAACCAGAACTTGTATATATCTCGATCTACCTACAAAGCTTTCCTGAGAGCGTAGGGACAGAGTTACCTTTGAACTCCGTCCCATTTCTAAAAACATTTCTGGATCCATGATACTTCTCAACCCCCAGTCCCTTTCTCTGACTCTATTTCTCCTTCATTTTATTTGTATTTTAAGAAAGTGAATGTAAGCACTCCTGACTTGGAAATGCTTACCACTTTTTCTCTACATTCTCTGTAGTACCAAATTCTATGCAGGCATAAAAAAAATAAAAAAAAAAGTATTTTTTTATCTTCCTATGAGTGGCCTTGAAAATCAATCTTGTAGAAAGGTTGAGTACATATGTGAACAATTCAGTAAAAAGGGTTTTACTGTAATATGCTTGGCTCACTTCAGATGCAGCATTTATGGGGATGGGTAAACTTTTCACAGTTACCTTTTTTCCTGTCTCTTTCATTGTGCAGATGACAAGATTTTTGGCAGCCGCATTTAGTTCTTAGAATTCCTGCTGTTATCTAAATTAAACAACTATCTTTTGAAATTCTCTTTTGCTTGTCGTTATGAAAAGTGCAGAAGATTTCATATGGGCAGGCTGGCGATTCCTATATTAAAGCCTTTCCTAACTAAGCGTGTCTACAAGGTTCGGTGGGTAGAAATTAAATAAGTCATGATAGTAGATACTGTATATTTGAAGCTCAGTCACTTTTTAACAAGGATCTCATCCACATAAAAATTGTATGCATGCTCTTGAGAGAAAATTAGGTTGCTAGCCCTTGGAAGACAATTGGACTTATCCAACTGTTTGCAGATATATATATACTGTATGTGTTTATATATGGTTTTTGCGGGTATTTGTATGTAGGTCTTTGGTTATTCGGGTTTTCTCCCACGTAAAATTGGAAGTGTCTTGGTGACGTTTCGACGAAGTCTCATTCATCATCTTCAGGCTGGTGTTTTTGGCAATGTCATTGCTCCTAGAAGCACGAAGCCGAAAACACCAGCCTGAAGATGACGAATGAGACTTTGTCGAAACGTCACCAAGACACTTCCAATTTTATGCGGGAAGAAAACGATGTAACCTTTATAGAAGGACTAGCTCATTTTTGCACTTAAACTGGAGAAATATGGTATAAATACAAATTGGATACAATGTCAATTCTATTATAATCTCTGTGTTAGTTGGAGCTCACATATATAAGTATAGATAAGCATGGGTTTATGTGAAGAATAGATGGTGGGCAAGAACTGTCCCTGTGAATCATGCTGCCCCTTTTTAGGTATGCATAAATAATGCTTACATGACGTTGATGATGATGATGATGACGACGAAGATAATGATGATGATGACATCCATTCATTTGTGTTTGTCCATTGGCAATTCTAAGGGTCAGGTCTCTCCATATCTCTCGACATGCTTGCCTGAGCTTTTTCATAATCTCATCTCTTTGTACTTCTTCTCAGATATCCACTGTCTATAAATCAATATAGCTTGTTATTATAGACTAAAAAAGAAAGAAAGAAGGAAAAGACACACCATTTGATATATTCAGTATTAATTGTCTGAGATATAATATATCAGAGAACTACAGCATCAAGATTGGGTAACTTTAAAAAGATAGCAATAGCACTTAGCAATGGCACTTAGACTTACATTCCACTTCATAGTGCTTTACAGTCCTCCCTAAACAATTTACAGAATTAGCATATTGCCCCCAACAATCTGAGTCCTCATTTTATCGACCTGAGAAGGATGGAAGGCTGAGTCAACCTTGAGCTGGTGAGACTCGAACTGCCAAACTGCTGGCAACCAACAGTCAGCAAAATTAGCCTGCAATACTGCATTCTAATCACTGTGCCACCAGGGGTCAGTGGTTAGATAAGGAGTCATTTCCAGCTGAACAAGGATGCTCCCTTTATGGGAAAAGTGGTATTGATTACATTCTTTCTTCTTCTTTGCAGAGTCACAGTGCACACTCTGTGGTGAACCTGAAGGTGAGTCCTGTAATTCCATCACTTCCAAAGTTAGTTGTGTTGTCTAACTTATATGAACTGCTTAACCCAGGGGGTCTGCAACCTTAAACACTCAAAGAGTCATCTGGACCCGTTTCCCACAGAAAACAGGCCAGGCGAGGACTGAGTTGGAGGGGTGGGGTGGGGCCAGCCAGTGGTGGGATCAGCTGACAGGGAGCGCAGCAGAGGGCCGAAAGAACCGCATGAGGCTCCAGAGCTGCAGGTTGCCGATCCCTGGCTTAACCTATTAGCATGTGTTGTCTGGTGAAAATAGGTTGAACATGGCATTAGACGTCACATTCTTTAGAATAAGGCAGGTATGGGAAATGTTAAGAGGGTTGTTAGATGTTATCAAATGAACTTAACTGAATTAAATGGGTGTGGTGGTTGAAAAAGAACCCTTTTTTAATTATTTTCCCGGGCAACTTACAACATTAAAAATTACAACATAAAAACCATCTCTAATTTTCATCCTCCATTTTTCAGTAGAAACATTGTGCTCCACAATTCTGGAGAAACACAAGTTCCCCATCTCTCTAATTCTTTATTCCACTCATTTTTCTGTATCTCTGTGGATGCAACCAATCTCATAACTAAAAGGAAACTGTCAAAATCTATTATGAACAATGTATTATTAAAACAGTGTATTTTATTAAAAGTACTGAATATAGTCTTAAAATTAGAAATGAATAATATAATCTCAAGTTGTGGAATATCTAACTACGGTACATATTTTTATGATACTGTATTTTGATAAATATAGAATATAGAATTATTCTATATGATTATATTAGCACTGATAGGCTGTTCAAAACATATTAGAACCCTGTGATAATTGAAGTTCCACAGCATGACCTGATATAAAGTTCAGGAGTGGGTGAAGTAAAGGAATCTGAGATGTGAATCAGATACATAGACTCACATATTATATTCTAGTTTCCATGTATTTTTATGCTGGTTTTTAAATAGTCTGATGGAAACTAACACTATACTATTTCAGGTAACATCATTTTCTGTACCATCTGTGTATAACGTTATCCTGATGTTTCTGAAAAACTTCATTATCTGGTTCTTTAAATGAAGAATATGGGCAGCGATTCAAGGAAAATATCTCATATATGCCATAGGTTGTACTTAGTAGGGCTTGATTTCCACATGAGTGGCTTTAAACTGCTCTAGTGTTTTACCTCCAAGGCTAAAAGAAGTCAAGCAGAAGCACATAAGGAGCATAGAAATAGCCCCACCAAAGTCAATCGACCCTTACTGAAGCATGGATTAACGCCTCATAATTCTTGGCAATGAGGATCTCTGTAATTTATTCAGTAATTTTGTCTGCTCTAAGAAGGTGCAGTATTCCAACTCAATATAAAATGAGTTAAAAATGGGATTTTGAAAAAGGAAGTGCAATTTTTGTGAAATAAATATTTGCCCAGCTTATGGACAATTTGATTTGTTAGCTCTGAATGGAGGTACTGTTTTAATTCACAGAGAAATTGATAGTCAGTTGAAAAATTGAAGAGAAAAAGGGGAAAGTTACTGGATACTAATCTCTCTTCTGATATAACTACATTCCACTGATAACTCATTCTAGTTTACTTTGCTGGTTGGCTAACCGAAATTCATGGGTTCAAAACTAACAGGGACCGCCAACATAATATAAGTCAGAATTGTTACACTAAAGCCAAGATTAGACAATTAGGAAATTAGACAATTAGCTTAATGTCTATTCTGTGTAAATTGATGGGAATCTTAAACAAAAAAATAATAATCAAGCCAATAGTAGAGCAGCTCTTGTGGAAGAAGAACTCAGTCCAGTTTCTACAAAGGTAAGTCTTGTGTTTTCAATACCCTTGACATGTTTAGAGTGGCAATAGATGGTTAGTAAGTGTGACTCAATAGATGTACTCTGCAGCTTTCAGAAAGCTCTTGACTAAAGGACAATGCTTTTACGCTAACCAACATAGAGATAAGATTCTGGTGCCACCATCAAGCCTTGGCAAGAAGGAGAAGAGAGAAGATGAGAGGTTTCATTCTATGGGCTGATACCCTCAAGAAACTGAACATGCTTTGTTGCTGTTGCCAGAGGATCCATAAAAGCAAAGGCTGCAGCCATGATCGAAGAAAAACTAGAGATAAACAAGGGGTCCATTTCCTATAACAAGTGATTGTCCACTAAGACTCCAAGATCCCTCTCACAGTTACTGCTATTGAGCTAGGTACCACCAATACTATCCCTGTGCATTTGTTTTTCTTGCCTAAACATAGAACCATACTTTTTTCACAATTGAATTTCATTTTTTTGATAGCACCCAATGTTCAAGTCTGTCAAGTTCCTTCTGTACCTTAAGCCTATCTTCTGGAGTGTTGGCTATTCCTGCCAACTTTGTGTCGTATGCAAATTTGATGAGTTTCCCATCTATCCCCTCATCTAAATCACTGATAATTGATAAGTGATTTGAACTCGTCTAGGCTGGACAGTTACTCACCATTTTCTTGCCTATTTTAATTTGTATTCCTAATCTGTTTTTTATGGTACTGTTTTTGATAGGTTGGGTTGTTTTTTTTCCTTTTGTGTAAAGACAGATGCAAAAAATGAATAAAGCAGTTTTGCTTTCTCCCTGTTGCTTATCATCTTCTTGCCACTTTCTCCCATTAATGGACCAATCGTTTCAGAGAATGAGTAGGTAATTCCCCCTTTACCCTTGCCACTATTTTCCAGCTCTGACTCAACATCAGTAAAGAATTTATGAACATATAATATTTTATTCATCTTTGAAAGGATAGTTTGGGAAAGTATTCAGTAAATACACTCTAGTAACTTCTACAAGGAAAAATCTGCGCTTTTTTGATTTATGCTAGTTCAAGGGAAAGTAGGTTTCTTCTTATGCAATAAAATTGAGAAAAAAAGAGAGGGCATACAAATTGAATGAAATACTTTTATAATTCACTGTTTAAAACAAAGGCATATTTCTGTATTCTTTGTTCAGAAACAGCTCTAGGTACTCTTTGTATTAAATCTCAGATCTTGAAGGTATTCATGGATCTTTCCTCCCTGATAGAGATGTTCAATTCATTTCAACCTGAACTTTGCTTAATGCACATTTTATTATTATGCAGATTGAAATGAATGTGGCACTCTGGGCTAGGAAGATACTGTCCAGAAAATAATGTTTTTATATTTCATTCCTAATCACTTTTGTTTCTTTCAAATATGATTCAGATGTTTATTTTTCTTCTTTAAAATTTCAATTCCTTTATTAACAAGTCAGACAGAGTGACATGTAACGCTCCCTTGTACTGGCGAAATGAAAGAAGACTGTTAGAGACTATATGGAATGGCTTCCCTCCAGGAGTTGTGGGTGCTCCATCGTTGGAGCTGCTGGCCAGCTGACTGGTTTGCAGAGATGCACGCACATGTGCAGGGGGGGACTGGGACAGGGGGTCGTGCGTGCATACACGGGCCGGGGAGATGTGGCACCCCCCAATGCCGCATTTTGGGCCTAGCAGGCCGCCCTGAAGCCCCCGGGACAAAAAACAGGCCGGAGTGGGGGGGGGGGGGGGGGTGCACACATGTGGAGGGGATGGGGGAGCACAGGGAGTGGGGGGGTCACACACATATGCACAGGGGGGCGGGGAAACATGGGGGCACCAGTGCATGCGCAGGGGGCAGGGCACACGAGAGGGATTATGGATGAGGCATTGTGGGTGTGGGCATGCACACATGCACTCTCTTGCACACACACACACGCTTTTGGCACCTGAGGAAAAAAAGATTAGCCATCACTGACATAAGGTCTCCTGCTTGAACAGGGAGTTGGATTAGAAGATCCCTTCTAAATCTGTTATTTTGATGTTCAAAGATTATTCATTTCCAGCCATTCTCTTCTCTGGTCATGCTTCAAGGAAACAACTCAGACCTGTAATAACCACATTATAAGTTGAAAAGAACACCATTGTTAGGTGCTGACTTTAGACCTGGGAATTACCTAAATTCAGTATTTCAAGAGAAATCAATTAAGTCCTAGAACTTAATTGTTTTTGGCTCTTCCTTCCCGCTTGGACCTTTTTTAAATCTGTAACTTGTTGTCTTGTCACCAAAATGCTGAGTAAAATGTTTATGAGTGTTGCGTATACATTGTTAACAAAAAGAAAAATAGGAGCTGGGATTACTAGTACAGTATTTCGCTTTTATGTTGTCTGCACAAAAAGATTCTAAAATCCTGAAGTGTAAGAATTCCTTCTATAAACCAGATTAGTTAGAATAGTGCAGGTACTCAGACAGCTGAGTATAATTGTCCACAAAAGGTCAAAATATTTGGCTGGTAGTACCTATGCCACAATATTTGATATTTCAAGAGTAGAAGCTCATCAGTTTGTTTTTATTTTTATAGCTCTGTGTTCTTCTCAGCCACACAAATGCCTTTTGAGCACTTAACTCTATTGTTATTAATGGAGTATAATCAAGACATCTCTAAAACAATTCTAAAACATTCTAATTCTGCTAAAGTCAAGAGGAATGTTTATGGCTTCTCAGATCGTTTTGCTGCTAAATCACTTGCTTACAATCACAATGTAGTAATTATTCAACCTTTTAAAATGTGTGATTCTGAAAATAATTATTTGAAGGAGGATTGGTTCTGTCATTATGCAACATTCTTCTAAAGGGTGATATTGGTAGCAGCAGCAATGCTAATTATGAAAAACAGGATCGGGAATGAAAACTCATATGAATTATTTTGTTAAAGTTTTGAAGCAGGAACCAAACATGAATCTTTGCTAAGTACTCACCCTGGTTTTCATTTGAAATGCAGTACAGTAGTTTTTAATGTATATTCATCCTTCCTTGGATGAAGTTACAAAACAACTTCATGATTTAAAGCGTTTTTGGTAAGATGCTTCTCCTCTTTCCTAGTATCTTAAGATTTTAAAATTGCCATTTTCATGAGTCTGTGAGCAGCTGTTGCATAGCATCTTCTTGCATA